CGACTATGGACAGTGTAGATATTAGGGAACAGGTTTTTGTATGCAGTGGTTGGTAATTTGTTGAACTGTGACTACGCTTTTGACTACTGAGGAAAAGGCACCACGGTCACCGTCACCTCAGGTATGTAATCTTAATATTTCTGATTAGAGAAGAAATTTTGTAATCCCATTACTAAAATATTTATTAAAAGTTTCATGTCGTCACAACTGTTGGCCGGTCATAAGAAAGCCAACGGTGTTCTGTAGCCTGACAAAGAATATACAAACTATTAAGTTCAGTTGGAACTTAGGTCTATTGACGGGGACATATTTTATTTTGATTTTATCTGGTGCCGATACCAAATTGTATGACATGAAGTAATGGGATATTACGATAATGAGTTTTTGTGAGAAGTGTGAATTGGCTCTCTTAACTGTAACAACTGGGCTTTTGACTACTGGGGAAAAGGCACCATGGTAACAGTGTCATCAGGTAAGATTTGAAGTTGATTTCTCAAAGCGTCAAGTCTTACTTTACAAGTAAAGCGTTTTACTGTGGTATGTACTGTGGAAAGTCAAACAGCAGTGTTCTCAGTAACATTGTCATCAGGTAAGATTTGTACCATTTAAAACCTACAGCAGGATATTTTTCCTTTTAAAATTTCATGTTTAAATTAATTTCTAAACGTGTCAAGTCTCACTTCAAAAGTAAAACTTTTTAATACAGTATGTACTGTGAAAAGTCAAACAGCAATATTCTCAGTAGGACACAATGGTGTATTTTATGGCTGAGTATATTCTGGGTTATTTAACTGTATTGTATAAGTTAGTGGGATCAATTACAGACTTTTTGCGCGTGCCATTAGGTGTAGCCTTTTGATACTAACAGATAAGTAGATTCAGCACTGTGCTACTACGCTACTTTTGACTACTGGGGAAAGGGTACAATGGTAACTGTTTCATCAGGTAAGAATTCTCTTTAATCTCGTACACAACTGCTGAATTTGGCATAAAGTAGTAATTTTTGCAACAATAAGACGTCAACTCATTTAATGGATGGTAACCGACTTTATAGCGTCATCACTTCAATTTAAAAAATGACTTGTAGTTACTGTCAAAGTTGTGTTTTTAAAATTATTTATTGATTTGTATATTCACTAACAAAAATGACTCATACTATTATTGAGTGAGGTGAACAAATAACAGCATTAAATAACTGAAATAGGGAAAGTCTCTGTATGGAGGACAAATGATAAAAGTTATCACCTTCAATGTGCTTTTTTACACTGCTGATCTACCCAGTTGTCTTCTCAGTTTTAACTCATGTTTGGTAAAAAAAAAGTCTGAGATGTTGTTGTTAATTTTGGTAGTTTAATTACATGTATGTTTTTACTTTCTCAGCCACTCCAAATGCACCAACTGTGTTTCCTCTGATGCAATGTGGTTCTGGGACTGGAAACACGGTCACTCTTGGTTGCCTTGCCACCAGCTTCACACCCTCCTCACTGACCTACTCATGGAGCATAGTAAATGGGGCTGCCTTGACAGACTTCATTCAGTACCCTCCAGTACTGAAAGACAACCTTTATACTGGAATAAGTCAAGTCCAAGTGAGCAAACAGGACTGGGACGCCCTGAAATCCTTCAGATGTGATGTAACACATACAGCGGGAAATCAACATGTTATTATCACAAAGCCAAGTAAGCCCTATGCTAAGTCTTAAAAATGTCTTTTTTAATTGTTGGTTTGAAATCTAGTAGTTTTGCATGTTGGACATATTTTATAATTATGCAACAATTTAAAGGGTTTTTAATTCAGTTTCTTAATGATGCAATTTTGTAATAATAACTAATTAATAATGTCATACTAAATTAAGGTAGATTACAGTATTAAACAGAATATCTTCAGTCAGAGAAAGTTTGACATTTTACAATGCAGTAAACAAAGTGCTAAAAGGCTACTCATGATAAGGATAAAATATTAAGTTCTTTTCAAGATAATTTGGTGATCTATGTCAAATAACAAAGTTAATTTAGAAGTTAAAAAACCTTTTGTTGTCATAATAATTTAACAATAATCACATTTATACTGCACAATCTGTGCTATAAATGCAGCTTTAAATACTTTCAGCAAAAACCTAAAGGTAGACAAAAAAGGACAGGGACAACACAATAATAATAATAATAATAATCATCATCATAATCATTTAGTTATTATCAATAATGAATTCATAAATGTTATTGATGTAGGATGAAAAGTTCATTGCTTTTCATTTACTTGATCATTTACTTGATTTTGTAAGTTTTCCTGAGACATGTTATTAGAGGCAGACTTTACCAATTTAGCCGAGCTGCTTATGTTGAAAATTGTGACAGGATTTTTTTTTTTATATGCTTCAACATATCATTTAAAAGGAACATGAACACAGAGAAGAGCATAAAACTAAAATACAACTGTTATCAAATTAAATTTGTGTGAAATCTCCTTAAATGTTTTTAATGTTAGAATCTGTAAGCAAACCAAACAGTGAGGTGGAATGAGAAGGCTGAAGCTCAGCTGCTGACTCAGTCAATTTTATTCCTGGCTAATTATCTGTATGTCTTCTGCATCTGTCCGAGAATAGATTATTGCTATGTGTGCTGCTTCTTTCCGTCTATCTGCTTAATCCTGGTTCCTCCTAACGTCTGCCTCCACTTTCACTGCATGTTGATGACTAACATTCACTCTGTGTTCGCTTGCCCAAACACTCAATGTATATGCAGAAGCAAGCATTAAAGCTCTGCTGTTAAATTATCTAATTTTCTTACCATGAAAATCTTTTCTTTTTGACTCTTTCTGCACAATTTAGTAACAAGCCACAAATTATGTCAGTTAGAGGAGTGGAATCACTATGTGCATACGTGTGTGCAAGTTGCATAACATGCAGTAGTTCAGTGAAGTCATAAACTCAGTTATATTGTAAGTCTATAGTAAATCTAGATTACATGAACATTGTACCACATTGTTCACCTTTGCTTCTGCATATATATACATAAATGATTCCTTGCTTCTGCATACTGTACATATATTTGTGTATATGTTTGTTTTTCAGGGATATATCAGTTGCCAACTCTTAAAGTAATGACCTGCTCTGATGAGGGCACCGAGACTACCCTCTCCTGCTTTGCCAAAGATTTTTCACCAAAAGATTTTGAGTTCAAATGGCTGAAAAATGAAGCAAAAATCACCACTGGAATAACCAACATCAAAACACCTTTTGATGAAAAAAAGACAGAGAATGGAATACTGTACAGTGCAGCAAGTTTTCTGACAGTGCCATCACGTGAGTGGACTGACACCAATACGTTTACATGTGAGTTTATGGGGAAAGGTGAACAAGGTCCAACGTATGTGAATTCATCTGTGACCTACAAAATTCCTAAACTTGTTGATGGACCTGGTGAGTAAATTGCTACTTTTTCTTTAAAATATGTGTGTACTGTAAATATAATTTCAATTCTTGTCATTTTGCAGCCATTTTTGTTCAATAATTGTTTAATAATTCCTCATTTATCACACTCAGAATGCGTGGAAGCAGATGTGGAAGTAACCATCATAGAACCAACAATGGAGGACTTTGTTTTAAACGGAAAGGGAAATGTAAAATGTCAAGTCAAGATAAACAAACCATCTGTCCAAAAGATTTTCTGGGAGACCCATGATGGAAAAGACATACCTGATGCTGTTCCAGTGAAGCCCCCTGCAGGACATAAAGGTACATACGTCGCTTTACTTCCCATCACATTTGAAGAATGGAGACAGGGGGAAAAGTTCATCTGCATTGTTGAACATGAAGACTGGATAGAGCCACGTAAGGAAA